GAATTAAGTGGCAATGATCCTCATTGACTTCTCTGATAGTGGGACACTCTTCTGCACACATTTCAAATGCAAGTGGTGGTGAAACTTCTGTGCAGAGATGGATTGCCTTGAATAAACTGAAGCTGGTGGCTTAGAATCAAACTCTAATTTAAGGCAATATCCGATTCATTAGAGGTGAAGGCACTTTTCTAGAAATCAGACTGTCTGACCAATTGCCACTGGAAAGGTTTTCATGCACTTGCCCTCAAACACCTTGGTTCAGCCTTAATGCAAAAAGGCCCTCAGGTGGAGCTTGGTCCATGAAGGGATCCCTCTACATCTGTGCACTGTCTACAGTTTGTATTTACACACATTCTTCACAGTTCAACTTCATAAATTCAATTCAGAAAAGCTCTTTAAAAGATAAGGTCTTTGTTTTAAGCAAAGGAAAGCAGAATCTCTGTGAAACCCATTAATACTCTGGTAAATTAAAGGCATCTCACCACTCAGCCACTTGGAGTTGTGCTGGTCAGTCCTCACTGCATTCCTCCGGGTCAGACTGCGAAAAATGGCAGCATCTGTCCCCATGAAATCAATATACATTCCTGAAAAAAGCTCTTCATCTGAAAAGAATTGAAATGGAGGGGGAATTGTTATGGCTTTTGAGAAAACAAAAGTTTATTTTAAATTCATCAGCTCCGTATTTACACAGGAGTCTATAAATAGTGGGTCATGGGAATGAGGATTTCTCTGATTTACCAAGACTTAACCTAGAATGCATGAGGGTAATCAGATTTTTCTTAAAGACTTCATGGAACTGTACCATTAAATGTCACAGAAGAGCTGCATATATGGGAAACCATTCCTGATAGAAAGTTTAGACGTTCCATTTGCACTGCTAAGGACCAAGGGAGAGTAAGGCTACTGTTACCAAAAGGTATCACATTCAGTATGTCAAGTATGAACTTCAAAGAATTGTTTTTTTGTTGTTACAAAAGTAGATGAAGTGACTGGATTGAATTTATTGCTGCTGTAAACTGACACAACATCTATTGCAGTCAGTGGATCAGTGCCAATTTTTACCAGCAGCAGTTTTGGCTGCCCAGGCAGCCTCAAGCTGACTTCAGTATTGCAGAGACCAGACAATCATATTGTTGAACTTTACTCAGAGTAACACCCAGCAATAGCTGTCCCCTTTTGTGCACTTGGTTCTAAGCACAGGAGCATTATGTTTGAGCAGAATGAGACATGAAACTCCTACATTAACAGAACTGTGAGCTTCTGCTCCCTGTGCAGGGCTAAAAACTCAGCCCATCAGTCAGGATGTCTATCTGTGTTTGAGTCTGTGTGTGTGCATAAATGCATGTATATATAATTACAATTATAAATACATATACTATCATTTTCTACTCTGTGAATAACCAAGCAATTTCCACTGAATAACGACAAAGAAACCCCAGAGTAGAAAACAGTAGCTAAAATAAACTCTCACTCTCAGAGTGGGAGTAGTGGCTGAATACATTCCAGTACAGCTGGGTCCTTTGATTGATGTTTTTGTCTGTACTCCTGGACTACCCAGAGAGTGTGGTCAAGCTGGCAAAAGTCACAGGCTCAGAAATACTTGAGGCTATTTTCATGCTCTGTGTATGTGTATTTTTTTTTTTGTGTGTGTGTGTGTGTGTTCATAATCAGCATGGAAGACTACTGAGAAGCTCCTGAGAGAATCAAAATTCTGGAGAATTTGTTTTTCTGCTGCTAACTGGAGCCTGAAGTGAACCCTGCCAGGGCATCCAGCAGCCACTCTTCTGCTCTCACCTCTCCCTGTGATGACAAGATTCGTACACAGGGGATTTAAGCAATGCATTTGCTGCATGTTGCTGAAGAGTTTACTTCTGGAGCAGGTATTGACAGAATGATGTTAGATCTGTACAAATTTATAAGTGATTTTGTACATCTGCCTCCTTGCCTCAATCCATCAGAACTTTATTCTTATTATGAAACAAATGGGCTGAAAGAGATCAGGTTTATAGCTCTCACTAAATGTTGCGTACAGTCCTGTGCATAAATACATACATACACACTTCAGCAATAGTATTATACTATGTAATTTTAATCCTATTACATATCAATGGTATTAATTATGTCTTAAGCATTCCTAGTGTCTGTTTGCTAATCATGTATCAGAGGAGATCCATCAGTTCCACTTCATTCTGGTAAAATCCTTAAATTCCACTCAGTATTTGGTCTGCACAGCACAATGAGTTCACTTTGTTTCTGGGGGGAAATTACTGAATTGATGAGGTATGTCTGCTTTTATAAATATCTCAGTCTTGGTGGGGAGAGAGACATGCACCCTGCACACTAGCAATGCTTTAAGCACCTTTTTCATTGTTTTGATGCAAATGCATCAAATGGCAAACTGTACAAAGTTCAAATTTATTTTTATAGCACCNGATTGAATGGGCAGCCTTCACAGCTCATTTGAGAACTTGTCTACACAATTTTATGTTCACAGTCGATTATCACAATTCTTTAATTTACAGCATATTCCCCAATATGATGTAGGTACAAAAACTATTTCTGTAAACTCTGAAAAATGGAAACTACCCTCAAACATCACAGAGTTCAGTAGCAAGCTGCCAATTATGTATTTTTTTTTTCCATAAGTAAGTTTTGCTTGTGGAGAAATAAGAAACCATTGGTATTTAGTGAAGGCCAGCCAAACACTGCCGAGTTGATCATGGCCAAAAGACTGTATTGCTTTATTTAATCCTACTCAAGCTACACTGAAGCCTGTCCATTGTTTATCCAGTGTACAGCAACAAGAGGAACTTTCATTTCTAGCCAGAGGTTTAGTATGAATATCTCCTTAGGCAACTGCAACATAGGATTTTCCATGTCATATAAAAAGGCATGCCTCTCTAGTCCAGCATCCCAGAAGTTACAAAGAAAGTACATTCCAGAGAAGAAAAGAAGCCCCACAGACTGCAAACCTGGCTAATCATGTTAACTCTTTGAGCACAAATTCTGAGCAGGGAAAAATTCCCATGTCCTGATTTTCACAGATGCTTTGATCTAAGTGAAAAATAAAGTTTGTGACACACATTGAAAAGTGGATTTTTTTTGGCAGTGAAATAAAAGAAAAGCCAAAGAAATTCCATCTTAGAAAATATGACTTAGGGATACTGTGTTGTGGCTGAATCATGAGGAAGCACACAAAAGCCAGTGATCCAAAAACCAGCAATGGTCATCTAAAGGACCATTCTCTATGAGCTATGATTTAAGAATTTATCTTCAAATTCAGAGCTCATCAGCATATTTGGAAAGTGTAAATAACTTCTGTCACCATGTAAAATCCAAATCTGATTTTTTTCCCCCTTTCTGTTGTGTTGCCCAATTTCTTTAGGCCCATCTGGAATACCGCAAAAGCTTCCATAACATGAACCAAGAAAAACATGGCAGTGGGTGAGGAAACACATACAAACAAAATACTCTGAAGAAGGAAGAAACTTTGAAATGTGACTAATCACAAGGGTGTGAAACTTCCTGTTCAAATGGGTCTTTTTTTAAAAGCCCCAGTAAACTCATGAGATTAGAGCTGTATGAATTAATTGCAAGGAAAGACTAATGCCAGCATTAGAGCTTAGTGGTATGTCAGGTATTGATTAGTTAATTCTAGAGATCTGGGAATGTAAAGTCCTAACTCTTAAAGCCAGAAACAACTGCATTAAAATGTCATGAAGAATTGTGTGAACGGGGAGAGCTATTCCATGTACCTAGCTATTCCATGTACAAGAAAGAAAGAAAGAGATAAAAAGGACAAGATTTTGCAGTATAAAGACAAATCAGACTAAAATAGTGATATGGCTAAAGGTTCTCACAGGGACTGGCAAAACTTAAATAAAATTTAATTTCCTGTGATAAACGGAAAAACAACGAAGTGTTAATCTAAAAAAATATATAACTTCATTGTTGAGAGATAATTTATGTTTCTCTGCATACTTATTTCATTCTGATACTTGAGAAACTGTAAGACTTCATAGGAGTCAACACACACACACACTACCATACTTCATTTAGCAAATTTGGATTCAGAGATGATTCTATAGAAATTCATACATTCTTCATTAAAGCTTCAAATATAAGATGTCACATTTCTGCTAAACATAAATTAAGAACAGTTAAAATAAGTAAGTAAATAAATAAAGAAGAAAGTGCATTACAGCACTTTTTCATATGTCATGAAGTTGAAAAGTAAGAAGAAACAACTGTGTTGTTTAAAATATTTCATGAGATACTTTTACACAACTGGGAAACAGAGCTAGCTCTAATTGTGTACAGAATTTATTGGAAGATTATTACTACCCCTGACAGAGTTAAAGAAAGTTCTGAAAGTAAGGCATACAGAAAGCATTCTTATGAGGGAGACTGTGGTGAACTGAATGACAAGAAAAGACATCTATTTCTAGGTCTCTCTTCTAAGATTCAGAACCTGTCAGGGTATGATTTAGACAAGTGCCAAGTCCCAGAAACCTCATTCTCTAAATCTCCTACTACATCTCCTAAGCATCTGAGTAGAGGTGCAAGAGTCTAGAGAACTAGAGAAAACTCATACAGACAGAAAACAGACTTAGAGACATTTGGATCCAGGCTGTGGAACACACTAACAATGCTGTCTTTGCATGCTTGTTTATTTAGCTACAGTTTGCTCAAATGTACCCACAAAATGGAAATGCACATGCAAACAAGAAACCTATCACCTAATGAACTAATTCTTATCACCTTTGAGCAGAAAGAGAAAGAACGATTAACATTTTACATGACTTTTAATTCTTTCTAGATTTCCAGACACTATGTGATTTGTAGTTGAATTTGTAGGCAACTGAAAAGCAAATAAAATAGTTCTGAATTGTAACTGTCACAGTCACATACAGACTTTTCTCCTGGAATAAATAATATTTATTTATGCATTAAATGCAGACAAGCAATTGGCAAGACTGAATAAACATCTTTGTACTTACGGTGCCAGGTCGTGGGTATGGAATTCTGCCCTGATATGGAATCAGCTGGTGGTTTGGGCCCTCCTTGTGTGCAAATGGTCCATTGAACACAGTCTGGATGTCAGACAGATGATACACACACACGGCTGAGCCTTTAAATATGGAGCTGGAAAACAGAAGAAAAAGTTAGCATTGCAATCTACTTTTTATAGTTTTACAAAAACTTTTTTATAGCTCTTCCATAATTTAACATGGTCCAATGTTGAAAGATATCTCTAACATAATATTTCATACAATTTATTGCTTTTATATGTATTTAAAGCATTTTAAATCAACTAATCTAGCTGCCCAATATGCACCACTGCTTCTTAAGACTTAACACCTTTCTGAACAGTGAACTGAAAAAAGAGAGAGGCAGGCACTGCCCTGATGCTGCAATAAGATTTCCTAATGCTAAATATAGAAGAAATATAATCTGGCTCCAGTTAAATCAATGGCAAAAATATTGCTGAGTTCAGTGAGGCAGGAGTTTTATAAACTTTTTACTGCCAAGCTCAGCACAGGTTTCCATAACTCCCTTCCAGTATATTAACCACAAGACCTCCATGAGCCTCCTAAAATACATGGCTAAAACATAATCAAAACATCCAAAGCAATGACAATCAGTTGGATTATTATAATCACTTTCCAGCTTTTTTTGCAAAAAATGGGGACATGATGTGGCTGTAAAGGAATTACTCCTGTACAGTCCACCCATAAAACTGGTCTTATGAAGACCCAAGTTTGAAGTTTCCTGAGGAGAACAAAGAGATTTGCCTAAGAAAAGGGAATGTTCTTCCCACTGCTCTAGATTCAGCCACGGATACAGGTAGCACAAGCCCTGAATGTTCTCCATCACCCTGTGATGATAAAGGGCACTAGGGAAAAAATTTCCAGATTGATGCTAAGGCTGACTACAGTGAATGGACTTCATTTTTCCTCTCACTTATGTAAGGTTTGTAACATTCATTTTTAAAAAGTGGAAACTCTAGACAGTCTAAAATCTGCCTGGTGTTATCTGTAGGATGAAGATAATCCGAGTAATTGTTTTCAGCTGAAGAAGAAAAAAAACTCCAGAAAAAAGCCTGAAAATATTACACATAGTGTAACACAACAAAAGTGAAATCCACATTGCTCTCAGATATATATGGATTAGTGGAATGAACCTTTTAGCTGGATTATGGTATTTCTGGAAATTTTACTAGGTATTAATAGATTTTGAGAAATGCATTTAATCTTTCCAGATGTTTTATGTTACATTTACAGCCTATTATGACACTAAAATAATTTAGTTCAGATTACTCAGTTTCCTTCTGTATGATTTAGATAAAAATACTACTAGTTATTACTTCCTGTGATATTTCTCTCTTGCTACTCTTATGAGTTGGAAGTCTACAGAGATGAAGATACAGGAACTATTAAGGAGTAAAAATCCTTATGGTTTCTGTATTTAACTAGGTAACACATTCAAGCTATAGTTGAACAAAAATAAAGCAAGAAAAGACCATGTGGTTAATGATAACAGAAATGCATGTGTAAAAACTTCAGTACAGAGAGAAAATATCTTAAGAGCCAGGAAAAAGTGAATTTTTCTTTTTATTTTTTTTAACCTTATGTGGTCCCTTGATACAAACCTCATTTCCACTGAGAAATACCACAATTAGGTAGAAGTGTTTCCAGTTCAATCTTGTTGCACCCCTAACCTAAAGATAAGTGTGGTTTTACTACTAAACATAAGCTCATCCTTTTCTCTTTTTGTGAAGTAGGAATTATAGACAGCACCTAAGTTTATAAGTTAAGTGATACTTTCTTTCCAAATTAGATATCACAGAATCATATTCTCCTGTCATATTTACATATTTGAGCAAGCAGACCCCTGTATCCAGTAAAAAAAAGTTTATTGGAGCATAAAGGATCTGAAAGTATTTTTTTACTAAAAATTGCCATTAAAGGAATTATTAATAATAAATTACATAATTTTCTAATTTAATCAAATAAATTAAATGAAAATTAAAATAAAAAAACCCCAGAAGACTTCTTTGAACGTAAGAAATAACAGGTAAATAATAAAGGGTAGCAAATCAGAAATCAGAGGGGAGTAACCAATTTTACTCTGTGTTAACACAATGTAGTGAGGGCAAGAGGAAAAATAAAAAAAATAGAGGTAGAGGTGGAAGAACCTGTTGGTCCAGCTGTCAGTCTATCTTTGTGGAGAGTTTCAGCATAGTAAGCCATATCTAGTGCTTCCACCACCCTTGGGAGCTCAGAAAATGCTTTCTAAACCAGACAGTGAGTGAATACTACTGACTGGCAACAGGGAGCTGCAAGGAGGTGACCAAATGTCACGTAAGCTTCTCCTTTTGTAGCCAACCAAAGCCAACCTCTGTGATCATCAGCCAGCCCAGAGACTGGAAGTCATTTGTATGAATTCATGTAAGAATTCCTGGTTTGATCCTTCAGGGATGCTGGATGTTCTTCAGGAGGTGTTAAGCGCTCTCAGATGCCACATGAGTTCTCTGGAACGTTTTCCCAGTGGCAGCTGACAGTGTCAGGAAGCAGTTTGCTCCAAGAGGCATAGCTCTGACACAGATAGCAACAGCAATGACACTGAGACTCCTGCATGCAAATCACAGCCACAGCAGACACACAAAATTGCCCAGTACAGCCTCATCCACAAAATACCAGTTTGACTTTTCATACAGAAAATCAGGCAGTTCAGGTAATTTTTCTTCAAATCTCCATGTTTACCTCGATGTTGTAAAAATCCCATACACGAGTGTTGTTCTGGGGTTGTCTGTCTCTAGGAGAAACACATCCTCTGTAAGAAAGAGAAAGAAAGACATTTTGAATAGTTTTTCTTTATTTTTAAAAACTTTATTTTCCAGTTTAATTGATGGTTTTATCTCTCCTAGACTCAACAATAGTTTTATCTCAAGACTTGAATGGGAACAAGGAGATTTACCACATGAACAGCCCATTTATGCAAGTATCTGGCGTTTGAACATTCAGAAACAAATCTGGAAATTAACTCCATGCCCCCAGCCTTGTGGAGACAGAAGGCAAAGATTTTCAAATACATTCAGGATCTATGTCACACATTTTTCTCAGCTGTATCTTGTTTCAGCAGGTTGTTTAGCAGTAGGGAAACATTAAAGTTGCAGTAGGTTAAAGACAAAGAGTTCCCATAGATGGATGTAATTGAGAACAGGGAAATTAGGTACTTTATTGTCCAGACTGCACTGGAGTGTCCTCACTAGTGCATTTTCAACATGGTATGAACAGACAGCTTTGCAGTAAAGACAGTGAGGGATGTAAACCTCCTGCCTCCTGTTGTGTAGGGATTTATTGGCTGCACTGTGCAAAACTCACTGTACCTTCTCACCGAAATCAATCTACCCACTATTACCTCTGATCTGTTGATTTCTTTTTACACTTCAGTGAAGACTACTTTAATCTCTGACATTTTCTCCTCACAAATGTTTTTAATAACTATAATCATGCTACCTCTTACACTTAATTTACAACAAAAAAAGACTGAACTCTTTGAGCTTTTAATCACAGAATATATTCTTCAGCTTTCCATTAATTTATGTAGCTCTTTCATTTAGCCCGCTGAATTTTTTAAATATTCTTTTCAATACGTCAAAAGCAAAAGACTTCACCATGCAGAACTGGAAGTGTTATACTCTCCTGCATTATACATGAACACAGAATCATGTGTTTGCTCTTTCCCAGTTTTCTGAATTTCCAGCTGTGATTGTATTCTTCCTCTTTGCTGTGAAATTGTTCTGGGAGCCCATGCTGAGAGCATTGTCTCCTGCTCAACTATGGTCCTACACTTTGTCATACAAGAAACTAAGAGCACTTATCCTACTGCTTTGTTGCTGAGGAGGGGGTTGGTAAATCACAGTTCTGAAAGATGAGCTGTGACACTGTAAACTTCAGAAAATCAGTCCTCCAAGCACCTTGCACATACCGAGCTAGACCAGGTTAGGAACTACTCCTAGGCCCAATCAGATTCCATTGGAACCTTGAACCAAAGCAAGTATACAAAATAGTTGTGAATATATAAACTCAAAAGCTCCAAACCCCATTTGCTATGGTGGGAATCAGAAATAAGAATGGACAAAAGAGGGAGAGGATACAATGAGAAATCAGAACCAGATGAGAACCAGTGCAGGGCACATTAGCTGCTTGTATTACTTATATTTATAGTAAGACACATACCAAATCTTCCAACACCTGAATTTAGAACTATGATTTTGCACATCTCAGCTGTGGAAAATACAGAATTTGAAACTTTTTGATAATGTTGTTTGGCATGTAAGTACATGCATCTATTAATCCCTTCATGAAAAGAAACTTCTTATGATTGCTGTATCATAATATAGATTATGTAATATATATAGATGTAATATTAATGTTTATTAGCATTAATATTACATATCAACATAATTAATATTGAATGATAGTAATTTAAAGAGTAGTTAACATCAATATTATTATTAATGTTAAGTACTGATAAATACGTGTAATATAGATTATATGCATAGAATATTTACAGTATTTCACATGTTGAAACAAAAATTGATGTGACTGAATGATTCCTGAGAAATTATATTTATGAATAGTGCTACTTCTGGTGCCAGTAACAGGATTTATTAGTATTATCATGAATTACCAATTTGAGGACTGTGATCAAAAAATAGAAAAAAATGCATTATTGAAAATGATGTGTAACACTGTGTGTTATACAGTGGGATAAGAAACAGTTTCAAAGGGATGTTAAAAACCCTCTGTTGTAATCCAAGCTAGTAGCAAAATAGTAAGAGTCACTCAGATGTTTCCTTCTAAATACTAATTCTTTACATATGTCACTGGTTTACATAGTCCAGATTAATTACCTTTATTTCAAAGGTAATGATAATTACACAGAGAGACTTATGAAGATTTTTTTTCTTGTGCCATCATAGAACTGAAAAGGGAATTTTGTCATGGGCTTCTAGTGCTATGATTTCACTGCTAACAACTCGACTGAGAAACTGAATGAAAATCAGTCATTAAATATGCACAAAATGTAGCATTTTTTGTGATACCTAATTCATCAAAGTATGTTTCTGTTCCATCTTCATCCATTACTGAGCACACAAGTCTTGCTTTCAAGAACGTTGTCCACTTGTTCACGAGACTGCGCTGACCTCCTGTGTCATTCTGGAAAAGAATATTAATTTCAGAAAAGAAGAAATAGAACAGCTAATATTTTACTGGGCTTTCCCACATTTTTCTCAGGTTAATTCATTATCTAGATAATTATCTGGTAAATTCCATATTTAACAGAGATAGGACTAAGCAAAATCCCCTCATCTAAGCATTCTATATGCAGAAAAAAATGAGAATTAGTTTTCTGAGTGGACTTTTTCTGCTGGGCTAGAAGGGTTAGAGGGTTGGGCAGTAGATTTTGTGCATCAGCAGTGTATGCTGTTTTAACTGGAAATGACTGTGGAGCTCTGTATCGCTCATTGGCACCCAGGATAAAGACCATGCACACTCTGAAAGGTCTCATGGATCTACAGAGGAATGTTTCTTTTCGTCCTGACAGCAGCATGGCTGCACCTGACCTAATAAAACACACTTCACATAGATGGATGCTCTAAACAATACTCAGAAATGATGGCTAGTGTGGGTCAAGCTAGTTGTGCACTGTTGCAAGTCCCTCTAGCTTGGTCCAGAGATGGCCTGGTCACTCGCAGATCTTTCCAATTCTCCATGGCTCTAGGTGGGAACTGTAGCTGCCAAAGCAGGGCATGCAGCAGTTTGGTGACAGATCCTGGCTAACTGTGCTGGTGAACGCCTTATGCAAGAGCAGCATCTTCCAAACTGCATAACATGATGTCACCCAAGGAAAGAGATAAACCAAACTGAAATGTGATTTCAATAAAGTGCTGTGCTATTCACTGATGCTGTTGGAGTTGGTAATCCAATGTTTTGGGTGACTTATAAGGAGTCTTTTCAGAGGGTAATATATCTTGCCAGTCTCAAAGGTGCTGATACATGAACACGATGGTTTGTATACAAGTATACAAAAATGACTGGCTCAGATTTATTTCCATTTGCCTTGGGATTCTGCCACTGGCTTCAGTGTAAGCCTAAAAAGGCTTAGGCCTTTCAAAAATCATCTGGGCTTCGTTGTAACAGTAAAAAACCAAATGCAGCTGTAATTGTGTCAAATGTCTTCTTGCAAAATACCAAAAAAGGCCTTTAGGCATTCTCACTAAAATACAGGGAATGGAGATTACAAAAGAGATCACATGCCTCATCATATTGCCAGAGAAGGACAAACACCTTCACACCTAGGCACAACAACATCACAAAGCATCAAATTTTAAAGAAAACCCAGTGTAAAATCAAATTTTAAAGAAAACCCAGTGTAAAGAAAAGGAATATATAAACACTCACAATGAACTTTCTGAAACCTTCCAAAAGAAGGAATGAATAGGCTAGCAGCAACTGTAAATTTATAATTTTTCTCTCATTAAAGAAAAAAAAAAATTGATTTCACCGAAGATATTAATAGCTGCTTCAGTAATTTTTCATCTCAAAAAAAAAACAACCCACAAAATAGAGACAATGAAGAGTTCTGCAAAAAATAAATTAATTATTGCCCAGGAATAGTTATAACTGCTGAATTTAAATTTCCTGTGCACATTTTTAAAGTTAGGCTCACACATGGATCAATACAAGCAAGTAGAAAGAACAGATGCCATAAAAATGAAAACAGCATTTGCAAGTTAAATCCACCAACTTAAAAGCTTGATATTTTGGATATACTTTAAATATTTTGAGTGTGTGTGTATGTGTGTGTGTGTCTGTGTGTGAAAGCCTCCACTGCTTAAAGTTCATTTTTATTAAGAAAATAATGTGCCTTATTTGTGCCAAGGACAATTCAACAATTTCAAGTAAAATCCAACATTGGCAGCTATTCTGACTCAGTGAGAGAAATACACAAATTCCTGAACCTTTACATTTCCATATTCTTACACATAAAGTCAGATAATACATAACCTGTTCAGACCCTAGCTGTGAGTCCAGTAACAACTCTTCTCAACTATGAATGGTGACACAGGAACAGGGAACTTTGTCAAATCTTTTTGTCAAATCTGCCAAGGCTTTTCAAACATTTAGTCTTTTACATTATCATGTCACACTAGCAGCTTATCCCAGCAACCTGGTAAACAAAATAGTTCTTACTGGGCATACTCTTGCAATCATTGAATGAATTTGCTTTGTGCTGCCGCTGTTGTCTGTGAGTCTTTCTTTGAAGAAGAAGTAGATTTTGGCATCATTGGGGTCAGTGCCATCTGGGATAACATGAGCATCCACAAAAATAGGCTCTGAAATGAAAAAGTTTACCAAAAGGATGAAACCAAAAGATGTATCAGTATAAGCAATGAATGATTTGACATTTACTGACTGCTTCAAGGAAGTGCTGAATATACCAAATATTAAGAGGTAAATGGCTCCTTGCTGGCAACCGTATGTGTTTGCATCCTCAAATTTTATTTCATAGCAAATTTTTAGAGGAGCAGTCCAGAAGCAGTGGTATTAGATTAATGCAGAGACTCAAAGACTTCAAGGAAGAAGGAAGAATCAGTGTGTTATCTGGGGCACCAAAGGAAAGTCTCATTGAGACAAAACATAAAAATAAGCTGGAAGAGCTTAGAAATATAACAAATGAGGTTCATAGATAAGAGAGGAAAACAATTTGTGTAACCCAGAAAAGGAAAGCAGAGTATGCAAATGCTTGAGCAGCATATGACCTCATATCAGAGGCTGGTAAACATACTGAAATACATGTGCAAAACACTGAAAATGAGAATTAGGGAGAGAGAAAAACGATTTATAACCTTAACAGCAAGCATATAATGGACAGTGCAGGAGCTCTCAGAACACCTCCTTTGACTGAAGGAAGAAGTGGCCCCTTTCCCAGCATTTGTCTTTTCAATGATCATGCAAGATTGCTTGTCCTATTGAAGTGCAGTACAAAGTTTGAAACAATCTGATCCAAAGGTTGAACATCTGACAGAAAACTCTTTTAAGACTGCAGCATTTTTCTGTTCACATAATTCTATTCTCAATAAATATAATAAATGTCATGACTCTGTCTCTAAAAGAACATGGAAATAAACTGCACTTTCAAGTACCTGTTTTGAACAGGTAGGTTTTCCAGAAATTAGGCATTTTAAAATTTTCTTTTTCTCTCATTAGGATGTGCAGATAAGTGTAAAAATGTATAACAAACAGAAAAAAAAAAAAAAAAGAGAGCAGGCATAGTTTCCCTTTCATAGTGAAATGAATTTGTGACTGAAATCTTGTGATTTCTTTGTAGTTACATCCAGACAGGAGTAATAAATCACCATAAAAAATATCAAGATAAAACCACAGTAACTTTACTTCAGCATACCTGAAGGCTTTTTAAAACTGTAACTTCTATGTTAGTTGCTCTACAGCCTTTCACACCTACCTCTGCTCAGAGGGTTGACCACCATTTTAATTTAAATTGGTTTCATTGGAAGGAGTCTTACCAGAAAAGACAGGGAAAATTTTCACAGTGATGTCAGTAAAGCAAAGAGTTATGTGATTCCAATCAAAAGTGAGTTTTTCTACTGTGTTTAGATGAACAATTCCTCACCACTGAATTAAGTGGCAATGATCCTCATTGACTTCTCTGATAGTGGGACACTCTTCTGCACACATTTCAAATGCAAGTGGTGGTGAAACTTCTGTGCAGAGATGGATTGCCTTGAATAAACTGAAGCTGGTGGCTTAGAATCAAACTCTAATTTAAGGCAATATCTGATTCATTAGAGGTGAAGGCACTTTTCTAGAAATCAGACTGTCTGACCAATTGCCACTGGAAAGGTTTTCATGCACTTGCCCTCAAACACCTTGGTTCAGCCTTAATGCAAAAAGGCCCTCAGGTGGAGCTTGGTCCATGAAGGGATCCCTCTACATCTGTGCACTGTCTACAGTTTGTATTTACACACATTCTTCACAGTTCAACTTCATAAATTCAATTCAGAAAAGCTCTTTAAAAGATAAGGTCTTTGTTTTAAGCAAAGGAAAGCAGAATCTCTGTGAAACCCATTAATACTCTGGTAAATTAAAGGCATCTCACCACTCAGCCACTTGGAGTTGTGCTGGTCAGTCCTCACTGCATTCCTCCGGGTCAGACTGCGAAAAATGGCAGCATCTGTCCCCATGAAATCAATATACATTCCTGAAAAAAGCTCTTCATCTGAAAAGAATTGAAATGGAGGGGGAATTGTTATGGCTTTTGAGAAAACAAAAGTCTATTTTAAATTCATCAGCTCCGTATTTACACAGGAGTCTATAAATAGTGGGTCATGGGAATGAGGATTTCTCTGATTTACCAAGACTTAACCTAGAATGCATGAGGGTAATCAGATTTTTCTTAAAGACTTCATGGAACTGTACCATTAAATGTCACAGAAGAGCTGCATATATGGGAAACCATTCCTGATAGAAAGTTTAGACGTTCCATTTGCACTGCTAAGGACCAAGGGAGAGTAAGGCTACTGTTACCAAAAGGTATCACATTCAGTATGTCAAGTATGAACTTCAAAGAATTGGTTTTTTGTTGTTACAAAAGTAGATGGAGTGACTGGATTGAATTTATTGCTGCTGTAAACTGACACAACATCTATTGCAGTCAGTGGATCAGTGCCAATTTTTACCAGCAGCAGTTTTGGCTGCCCAGGCAGCCTCAAGCTGACTTCAGTATTGCAGAGACCAGACAATCATATTGTTGAACTTTACTCAGAGTAACACCCAGCAATAGCTGTCCCCTTTTGTGCACTTGGTTCTAAGCACAGGAGCATTATGTTTGAGCAGAATGAGACATGAAACTCCTACATTAACAGAACTGTGAGCTTCTGCTCCCTGTGCAGGGCTAAAAACTCAGCCCATCAGTCAGGATGTCTATCTGTGTTTGAGTCTGTGTGTGTGCATAAATGTATGTATATATAATTACAATTATAAATACATATACTATCATTTTCTACTCTGTGAATAACCAAGCAATTTCCACTGAATAACGACAAAGAAACCCCAGAGTAGAAAACAGTAGCTAAAATAAACTCTCACTCTCAGAGTGGGAGTAGTGGCTGAATACATTCCAGTACAGCTGGGTCCTTTGATTGATGTTTTTGTCTGTACTCCTGGACTACCCAGAGAGTGTGGTCAAGCTGGCAAAAGTCACAGGCTCAGAAATACTTGAGGCTATTTTCATGCTCTGTGTGCAGCCACTCTTCTGCTCTCACCTCTCCCTGTGATGACAAGATTCGTACACAGGGGATTTAAGCAATGCATTTGCTGCATGTTGCTGAAGAGTTTACTTCTGGAGCAGGTATTGACAGAATGATGTTAGATCTGTACAAATTTATAAGTGATTTTGTACATCTGCCTCCTTGCCTCAATCCATCAGAACTTTATTCTTATTATGAAACAAATGGGCTGAAAGAGATCAGGTTTATAGCTCTCACTAAATGTTGCGTACAGTCCTGTGCATAAATACATACATACACACTTCAGCAATAGTATTATACTATGTAATTTTAATCCTATTACATATCAATGGTATTAATTATGTCTTAAGCATTCCTAGTGTCTGTTTGCTAATCATGTATCAGAGGAGATCCATCAGTTCCACTTCATTCTGGTAAAATCCTTAAATTCCACTCAGTATTTGGTCTGCACAGCACAATGAGTTCACTTTGTTTCTGGGGGGAATTACTGAATTTATGAGGTATGTCTGCTTTTATAAATATCTCAGTCTTAGTGGGGAGAGAGACATGCACCCTGCACACTAGCAATGCTTCAAGCACCTTTTTCATTGTTTTGATGCAAATGCATCAAATGGCAAACTGTACAAAGTTCAAATTTATTTTTATAGCACCACTTTCTTCTGAAGGGTGAATCAACTTTCCTGCTGTATTCTAGGCTGGTGATGTCCAAAATGGTCAAGAAATTGCATCTATATTTAAAAAGGGTTCTTTTATTGTGGGAGAGTTAGTTGGTCTGGTGGTATGTACTATCTTCTGAATATGGGAGGGAATTCCTCCTGCAGAAAGCTCAAAGGTGAGTCCAATACATTGGCTCAGTCCCCTCATTACAACATGAGCTGGAACTTGGAAAATGTTCACATTTCTGGCATGGATACTAAGGCTAAATTCATTAGAGCATAATGTTTTTGAAGTGACTGGACTTTACAACTGAAACTATAAAACCCTATCTGTGAACTCTTTTTTACAAGACTCTTTTTACCTTTGTGGAATAATTTAAACTTTGTAGATGAACCATGTCATGAAAGATAAGTCAAACATTAGGGAAAGTCTCCTTAGTCACACAACAGAGATCAAGGAAGATAACGAAAAGTCTATTAAGATGAACAAAGCTGCCACAGATATACTGTAGAAAGAAATGAGTTTACTATGCAAACAATAACTCAGAAACAATGTTCTTTAATGTTGCTATACAAAATCCAGAAGAAACAAGGAAAGGAAACAGTTGCTTCACCTAATACCACAATGGCAATGAGTAGCAGTGGACTCAGTTATCACTGACTTTGAACAAATATTTTCTTTACACAGTGAGTATCTGTAAACTCTATCCCTAGATCACTGTTGAGATAAAGGTGTAAGTGCAGCCAAGGTTCAGAAAGATGTCTAGGTAGCATTTACCTGTTCTCTAAAGGTGTTCACTTCACGTATTTGTGAATAGATATACTTGTCCTTTGTTGAAAATATATTTGCAATGAGAAATAAAAACAAAAAAAACCCCAAAAAACCATAAAACAAAACAAAACAAGGCAATTTATATTTTGAACAGGCCATGTAGGACAGACTGTATAACACTTCCCTTAAGATCCATAAGATTTTAAAGAAAATATATTGTAAAATATGTAATAGTTTTCAGAGGAAGGTGAGTATCAGAAACACTGCACATTGCTCCCTTGTAAACTTTGGATGAAATACGCAGTACCTGTGTGCAATAAGTTTTATTTACTAAGAAAGTTTCAAAAATCTGTGCAACTGCTGTTACCATCATAGCCAAAAATACAGCAAGGAGCAGGCACATGCTGAAAAATCAGGCTTTGGCACTAGGAGTGTGTGAACATACTGCAAATGCGAAAGGTCAGCTTACACTATGTATTTCCAGCACTTCCTGGTTGAAAAAAATAAAAGTATCTTTTACAGATGACTTAGGCTGCTCAAAGTGTATGCCCACTTCGAGTTTTCTCGTAGGTGTGCAACAAGCACAGCAGAAATCCTTTATTGTTTCACTTTCTGGCCTTTCAGATGGAAGAAAATTGCAAAATTGGTTGGGTAAAAAGCCAGTTGAAGAATTAAGAGCTTTATAGTTGGTGGGCTCTACAGCAGCAATGAGAACAAAAATGAAATTTAAATCATCTGAAGTCTTCAGGCTTTCTTTCCCTGGCAACTCTGAGATTTTAAAAATAATTAAGTAAGACACAAGTGCTGTTTAGGATGAACAAGGTCAGAAACCATTCAAACACAAATGCTAGACAGAGTAATGCAAAGCTGAAACTATTCCTGGGAACAAAATGTGTAATCTGGAAAAGGGAGAACCTTTTGTTTCCTGTGTCTCTCTCCCCCTTTAAATAACTTATTCCTGCATTTCATTTCTCCACCCACTTTAAGCTTCATACAAGCCTTGAAACACAGATGGATCCACCCCTTGAGCCCATCAGCCAGACAAAAGGCACTGCTCCTGGGAGGCTGAATTCTGTGTCCAGCTGCCTTGGGTTATTCCATCAGCCCACCCTACACATGACCATATGGGTTTAGACCTCAGCAACTTGGAGTGTCTTTACTTACTGATCATCACAGACACAGTATTCACGTTAGGGTTGAAAGAACAGCGTCCCTTTCCTGATTCACACTTGGAGTCGATCTTGAAGATTTGTTCCTGCAAAGTAGATTTGTGTGTCACTTCTCATGTCAGAAACCATTAGATCTGATTTTTATGCCTGGCTGTTCACAGCATTAGCACTGCTCTATTAGCAGTGCTCTATTGGCCACTTTTACAGTACTATGGGTAGTTTAACTCTTCTATTCAGAATTCTATCATTTTGTTAGATAACACTGACACATAGTTATTTCCAAGACTCTTATTATAAATTCAAGACATTGAATCAAAAAAATGTCCCCTCTGTGTCTGTTAAGGATAGGTTGACTGATCTCTGCAATAATATCTGTGGAGATTGCTTCTGTGGGTTTGAAGTTATTTATCATTTCTTTTCTGAATATATTGGTATACTTATACCTGTCTAGGACATTACAATAAAACTATTAGAACAATAATACATATAAAATAAAAATTTCTTAAAACAACTGTCATTAGATTACAGCATAAATAATTTGGTCTTTACTAAGCTATCAGACCTCCAAAAATCTCCCAACATTTATTTTCTTCAATACCATCTCTTGGATTACGTGTAGAGCTCCAAATCCACAGTGATAGATTATTTACTGATGCCTCTTACCATGGTCTGAAATCTCCTGGGGTTTGTTGGTTGTGTTTTTTTTGTTGTTTTTTTAAGAAATGATGGTACAGGGATTTGTTTGTATGTTTTGTACTTTATGAACAGGAAATACATTTAGCAAAGTAGAAGCAATTTGGACTACTACAGCTTAAAATACAAACAACCTGAATATCTTTAGAAAACCTGTTCCTTTTGGTGCAACTCCTCACTTCTTGGCTCCCAGAAATATTAGCACAGTGTGCTCAGCAAGAAGTGACTCAGGCCCAAGATCATTCCTAGAAAACTGCAGTCAATAATGGCAGATACTCTGACCCAACACACAGTCTATACCAAACAACTTGTTTTTAGGCTCCTACAACAAAATTCCAAACTTCAACAAAAAGCCAAAAGACACAATTGCAAGGGAAAAAAACCCAACAACAAATAACCAAACTTAAACATTTCTAAAGAAAAACATAGCTGACAAAAATTCCAAAGCAAGGCTTCCGTCAGGTAGATGCCAAAAAATAGTTATTTGAGGAAGGACAGCAACTCCTGGTAATCCCTTTAACAGTTAATGTAAATCACAGGGGAGTGGGGATGCCACACAAGTCCCTAAGCATTTGGCACCAGCAAATTGAAGATTACACCAAACTCAAATGCACAGCTGCAGCAGGAAGTTTTCATATCATTATTCCCTCTTTTCCCCTTCTGTTTTGCCTAGTTTAATCTCAGAGATTTTATCTACTGTTTCAGTAATAAGCTCTCTAAACAATGTAAAACACAAGTATGAAGTTTCTAATGTGATCTTGGGTGGTATCTTTGTTGTTTTCTTACTTCTAGATTATATGCAGCTTGAATATAATCCATATTTACTATATTAAACCACTATTTACCAATTCAAAATGCTCATTACTCTTCTATTAAGAATGCTCCAGGATTACACTTGATTTTCATATATATTAAACTGCTATTTAGTCTATAATTATTCCACATAGGGATTACATTGCCTTCTGTTTGCATTTACTTTGACATTAGAATATATTTGGGTGATTAAGGGAGTAATTACCAAAGACCAAAGTACCAAGCGTGCCAAGGAAGAAAATTAATTGTTTTATAACCTCTGTTTCAGAGAAAAGGGTAAAATTTTTCCTCATCAATGAAACCCTCATTTTTTATTTTTTTTTTTGTGAGCTCATGTGGAGCCCCAGAGACAGAAGAGCAAAACAGGACCAGTTCTTATGATTGCTGGATATGACTCTGTCAGGATTTGTAGCTTCTAGAGAAAAACAGATGTGCTTTGTAAAATATTCATTTTGCACGTGCAAAAACAGCCTTTTGTGCATTGGAAATTGTACCAAATAGAAGGTGAAATGATAAAAGCAGAGGAAAAAATGAATTTTCACTAGTCCCATCAGCACTACATGGTTCCTCATTCTGCTCTATCAATTAGTCATGCACAGATATATGCAATGAGTTCAGAAGGAAATGCTTGGGTTTAAACTGTTATGCTATTGTTGGCCTGTACAGTAATGGCTTTGAGCATGAAGGGTCTACAGTCAAGTGTCTCAGACTCCAGATGTCTGAAACAGCAGTTTATTTAATCAATTGATCATAGGCATGCAGCTATACAGACAGGCTAAGTGAAGCCAGTTCTGCTTTTCCAAGTCATGTATCTTTACTTTTCATTTAAGAAATTTAACATCTTGCATCATCTGCAGATGTAATTTCCTGCCCTCCCCTCTGTCCCAATCTCATTTACAAACAGTCCAAAATAATGAGATTCAAACTTTTCTGAGCTGCAATACCAGTACTTAAGATGATAGAGTAAAAGGCAAATGAGATCACTGTTCATGTTTTAAATGATTTTTCAAGAAATAGAATAATGATGGGAAAAATTGACCCCGTTTCAAAATACATCAAAATAAGTTAATGCAGAATTTTTTAACCAGAAGGATAGATTTACATACTAATTCTGCTTGCTTCTGCTTCTAAATCCAGGCCTACAATCTCTGCTTTTGTATAGTTTAGTAGGATTGGAGTGCAGTGATTCCGAGTGCATGCTCTGTTAAGGATGCTGGAGCCAGGTAGGGATCTACCAAAAGTCACTGAGATCATACCATGCAAACTGACCTGGAGAAACACTGACTAATCACCTCCCTGGCAGCTCTGCAGCAATCTTGGGTCTCGGCCAGAATTCCCATCCCACTCCCAATTAAATCAGTGATGAATTTCTCAGTGTCTTCCCGAGAAGCCAGCCCAGCTTTTAAAGCTGCCCTCACGTGGCAAAGCTCCAGGTAGCACGCTCTGATCTTCCTTCCCAACACATCTGCTTCCACATTGTTCTGCAAAATATACTGCACACCCCTGTGCCTGCAGACATGAATCTGACCCAAAAGCTACTGAGGTGCTGCCTCCTGCTTAAATGCCTTTCTTTTTCCTTCTAGTTGCTTAATTTATTACCTATTACATTTGCACATAAACAAACATTTCACTTTCAAATCAGGAAACTTGGACCACATACTTCTGAGACATCTGATACTTGTACTGAAAATACACTCAGTAAATCTGAATATAGAAAAACTGGAGACCTATCTAGAAAAAGTAAGATCTTACAGTGAAACTTCCCAACTTTGTGTGGATGCCATTTAGTAGGGCAAAACTCATGCAGTAGATAAATTTCCTGTACTGGGATTGCACCTAGGTGGTGTTAGGCTGAATTCCAGCTTAACCTGAATAGTTAGCCAAATTAAGGGCTTCTCCAGGGAACCAGTAACACATGGAAGTTATAAAAAGTGGACTTTGTATGTTACTTTTCATCTGACTATTTCCTTTCAAGTATTTCTTGGGCATTTTTCTACCAAATGGTAGGAATGAATCCAGCAGACAATATCAAATAAAAAGTAGTATCAAATGTATCCCAGGTTTTGGTATGACTGTGGAATTTTGGACAACCATCGTATTTGAGGCATGATTTTTGATTCTAGCTGGTATCAGGTCAGAAAACTATGGACCTTTGCTCTTTTGCACCTTAACATCGGTGAAGGAACACACCGGGACCACTGATTCTTGCGTTTTCAAAACTTGGAGCTTTCGCATCAGACCAGTAGGATGGACCCCAAGATGAGTGGACAGAATGAAAAGGGAGGTACCTCAGACCTGCGTCCCCTGTTGACGTAGACACAGACGGGGCTGAAGGCGCCGCTGCCGCAGACGTACAGGTGGGTGCGGTTGTAGGACTGGATCACCCGCACAAAATTCCCACAGCCGTGCTGCAGGAAACAGGGACACACAGAGAACAGTCACCCCACAGTGCTAAATGTATGAGATGCTGGGAACTCCAGGGAACAGGCATGACATATCACTTTAATTGCATCGTGAAAACAGCTACTGAATTTGTTAGTCTCGGGATTTGGACAGCTGTTTCCTTTCACGTCATTTTGCCTGCTTTGGGGAGCTGGGCTCTCTCTGATGGAGCACCACAGATGAGTTACAGAGGAGTCCATGTAGCTTTCCCTTCCACACAGCAATCCAATTTTCATTCACGTATTTCTCTTGCATGAGAGGAAGCAGGACCTCAAGGAGACCAAGGTGTATGTAACCTTAGGAAGTTTCCTTAAGGACATCTCTGAATTTGTCTCCTCTTCCCCCAGATTTGTTCAACATAAATGGAGATAATTAAAAAGAAAGCAAGTCCAAATACCAGATTTTATTGTTTATATAAACAATTTATTTTAAAAACTTTAAACTGAGGTTTGCAGTCAATTGTTGCCTTGTATTGAAGACATACAGTAATATCTTCAAATCAGCATGATAATTCACTTTAGGCTGAAAATAGTTTTTTTTAATGAATATTTTTTCTTACCCAGATCCCAGCAATGCTTTCATATTCAATCATCTGAACCTCACTCAAGACAGTGAGAACTGCATATGTTTTATGAGCACAGGGTTGGAAACTGTGCCATCAGTCATCTTCATGAAAATCAGTGGAGTTAATCCTTGTTTGGCAGACTGCACTGGCTTATTTACTTTTAAAGGCATTCACATTTTTGGTTCAGCAGGAGCCAGCAGCATACAACATCATCATACAACTGGGGTTTTCAGACTGCAGGCAGTGGGCACCACCACCTTCATTCACAGTGAGCTCCTGGGGGAGCAGCCAGCCACAGAACTTCCCCACTCGGAAGAGCAGCTCAGCAGGCTGTTCAGCATCACCCCAGGACAAATCTGGAAATTTCCCTGCTTGATTAGTAACAACCAAGCAAGGCGAGGAAATGGACACTGCCTATCTTCTCCCACCTGGCAGTCTGAAGGTGCATTCTGTTTACTTTGCCTGATTTTCCAAAATTTCACTTTATAGGCTGGCTTTCAAAGCATTTTAAAAGAAAAACAAACACTTATTTCATTTTGCTTTGGCTGCACTCAAGGTGCTCTTACTTTATTGCCAAATCCCTAATATGTGTGTATGTGTGCATGTGGATTATAACTTACTGTAGGATCCTTTCCAGCCATTTTGCACTCTTCAACCTTGTTTGCTGATGCTGGCCAGAAAATCTGTAAGGAAAGAAGTATTGTTCAAGTAGTATATTGATTACATAATTTAAAAAAAAATAATTTTATTGCCTCGCACTAATAGATAAATATTTAGATAAAATTTACACTTTGATTATAAGGAAAAAATGGATTTTTGTTGATAAATAAAACCATCTTAGCATGCACTAAAAAAAATCAAGGTCCAAGTTTTTGACTGTATATAATAAGTTTATTACATATTTTTAAGGCAAGTTAATCAATTAATTTAGATTTTTTTCTTCTAATGAAGAGAGATTTTTCATCACGATTGCCTAAATTACTATCCATCTTTACTTTTTTACTTGTATTGAACCTGTAGAAATTATTCATACTAGAAACCAGAAGACTTAAAATATTGAAAGAAGAGCTCTTGTAAAAATTTTTCAATTCTGTTATTAAAGGTTTGGCTAGATTACGATAAAACCTACTTGAAATCTCAAGATTTCACATTAATTTCTTTCAGAGAGTTTTTCAAGAAATACCACAGTGTCTGAACATTTATCAGTTTATCTCAAACTGTAAGTATTTTGAGCTCCTTCCATTATTTATTTTGATTTTGAAGTAGGAAAGACATCCTTTACAAATGTATCCCTAGAAACCTAGTAAATGACAGAGCCTGATAACATTTAGCCCCAAGATAACATAAACAATATCATTAAAGGATCTGTGTATATATGTACACACACATATATAGATGTAGAATTATGGATTTGAATGTATATGTATGTAGGATTTCTGTAGATATATAGAATCTGCATAGTGAATCTATTGTTAAAATAAATAAACAAATGGAAGACTGCAGAATTGCAGTGATTCATTTTGAACTTAATACTGGGTGATCACATTCACTGCCAGAAGGCTTTGTGTGTTTTTCCTTTCTCTTGATTTTTTTTTTGGTTTTTTATTCTTGTTTCTCCAGGCCTACATGAGCTGTTGAAGTGCCTCACAGCTTTACAGTGCAGAAAATATTCCATGTAACAGAGGCCCTCCTACACCAAACCAAACTCAGCACAGGATCAAACCCAACCTGCCAAGGCCAGGAGGGAGCGTGCCGTGCTGGGGCACAGCTCCTGCCTGACCAGGGTGGCTGGATCTCTGGGAGATGGAAATTAGCCAAAAGGTCACAGAAGGTATTTCAGATCCTAGAAGGCAGCCCCATTTCAGAGGGAGATTTGGGTACCATTAGGAGGAGGGAAGGATGCATTCACACCATTGAACGAGAGGCATTTAATTTAAATGGGTAAGTTAGAATGAGCCTTCCTGGCTCCCTGAACAATAAATTCAGGTGGACAGGAAAGTCCAGAGAGTAATTCAGAGCAAAGCCGAACTTGGCTGTGTTCAATCACTCTCTGCCAGCGCCTCCTCTCTCCCCTGACACATTAAAAGCTTTGTCTCTTAAGGAAGGCATTTATCTTCCCTATTGCCAGCTGGGTATCGCTGCCCCTCTGAGGTACAGTAATAAAGCCCAGCGATTAAAGGACTGGATGGATTTGGAGGAACAAGGTACAGTAATAAAGCCCAGAGATTGAAGGACTGGATGGATTTGGAGGAACAAGGCCTTTTTGGTGCACTTTCAGGCAGGGCAGTAGTTGTGACAGTCTAAAGACTGGCAAGACAAAGTCTATAGACAGGCAGTAATAGCTCAACAGCCAAGCTTCTGGGCACACAAGTACTTCTGCAGGTCACCTATTTCAAAAGCAGAGAGGCTGAATTTCAGCTGGCTTTGGAGACAAGAGAGGAATCTGTAAGCATTTTATAATGTTATTATTTTCACACAGAGATTGCCTACTACTGTTTGGTGAGGGAACACAAAGTCCTTGGAAAACATCATCTCAGTAAGTGAGAGAAGGCAGAAAAGAGGTGGTGTCAAGGAATAGCTGTGGGTCACAGTACCCAAAAACCCCAAATAAGGTGTCTCAGCTACCCAACTGAAGGGCAAAGGCTAACACAGACATAACAAGAGATTGGAAAATAGTTCAGTGATTAGTGTTGATAGCAGAAAACAAAAAAAGAAATGTAGTATAAGGTTAAGGAAACCCTGTCCTTGCTTTTTTTTCCATATGGCATGAGAATGGTAGTGTGTATCTTATTCTTCCTTGAGGATTCTTCCAGAAGTATATCTCTGAAATACCTTATCTTGGAAAGAGGTGGAATGTGTCAAGCCACACAGGTTTTCCTTGTGAGGCCAGGCCAAGCAGAGTATTGCTTCAAAATTGGTAACCAGGTCAGTTTTAAACAGTGTATGAGGAACAGTGTATAGCCTCATCTGCATTACACATAAAGGACTGAAAATTCAATAAGATGAGGGCATGGACTTCAATGCAAAATAATCAAACACCATTTTTTTGTCTTAAAAGGAAGGGCATGGAGTAAAGCAACCTCAGATTCTCAAAATAAAACTTGAACTTACACTGAGGGGGTCTTGGCTTATATTGTTAATATTCAGGGACAGAATATGATCTTTACTCCCCACGTAGATCCGATCCTGATCTTCATCCATCAATAATATCCTGTAATCCAGGGGGCTGTGGGATATCCTGTGATACTCAGAGGTCTTAGTTTCTTGCAGCTCTGAAATAGTAAAGACAGTAGCATAGTAAAGCATTTCACTCACATTTCTTGCTTCTCAACTGCATTTCTTTCTAAGTAAAGAGATCTTTAGACACAAGTGGGGTCCCACAAGAGAGGGAAGAAGGTCCCTCATTGGACACTAGATAATAATACAATGGCTGACATAAAACAAATTTTCTTTTTCCAGTTTGAATACTATTATCTTGTGCATTAAGTAGACATATCTCATAAAAACCAGGCAGTGCTGTTATTCATTCATCCAATTAACTCTTATTTTAATGGATATTATTATTTACAGGTTTGGCTTTTAAGGAAGATAATTTATTAAATTAATCAATGTGTTCTATATTATGACTACAGAAAATCCACAAGATCAATGAACATTTTACTTCCTTTCCCTGATAGGGGCCTTCATTAAGAATAGGTTTTTATCATTTTCAAGGTCAAATTTTACTTTGTTCTTCATCACCATGCATGGCTAACTTAAAAGAAAAACAAGATTATTCAGTCAAGCCTAAATGTGCCTGTTCATTCAGTTGTTTGTTTACAGGTTTGGACCAAACTAACAGAACTGTAGAAGGAACTCTATTTTTCTACTTAAAAGTTTCTTCAACACAGTGAAGAGAAAACATGCTTTGATCTCAGCAGTGCAGGATCAGGCCTGTTACAGGAATAGCAGGAACTGCAATCTAAGTATTACTTGCTGCCCTCAAGAAAGCTCAGCCTTCCCATCTTTGCTTGGCCAATATATTTTGGCCCCCAGTCAGATTGTTTTACTTTTCTGTAATAACAGAAGGGAGATTTCTCAAGAGCTGAGAGTGGAAAAATAAAACCTTAATAAACAATTTGTCTTTGTTAAAATATTTAACATATCATTATGCTTTCTTTCTTCATGAATATTAAGATCGAATCATGTTCCCTGTGACTCTAAAAGGGTGGAAAATACACAGTACTTATGAAAATGAAGCACTGCTATCATGTTTATTCATAAATGTAAGATCTGAGCCCACAGTTCTCAGTTACAAACTTTGTCTGGGACAATATGGGTTGTCACTTTTGCTAAAGGTTTCTTAAAAGCAAATTTTTTTGGTCATCTTTCCCTATGAGAAGCAATAAATGTCTTATACTAAACTAGTCATCTAAAGCTACTGATATTCTATAAAATAAAACTCTCAAAAAAAAATATTTTCTATATATGCTCCTAAAAAATAAAACAAACAGAAACCTGTGCCAAAAGAAGTGTGCCTCAAGTCTGAAAATTCTGTAAAACACATAGTTAGCTGAAAGCAATTTTTTATTTTTTTATTTTTTTGAAAATTACTTGAGATGGAGAGCCATTTTTAATAGCAGGCAAAAGCTGGATTCCTAGGATTTATGCCTGTCTAGTAGAGAACTAACGATTGAAAGAACACATATCAGAATATAGTTTGCATTGATATATATGATACATAACTCAAATTAATTTTTATCATTATTAAATAGTTTCATAGGAAGATGAAAAAATTCCCAGTTACTGAAAGATAATTTAATTTTGATTAATTTAGATGTGTGACAGGAGCCATTTCAGGAGCCATTTCAGGAGCCATTTATTTATGGTAATATTAAAAGAACCCAAATAGTATTTCTCTTGTCCCCTGACGACAGATAAACATACAATCAAGATTTACAATCTGTGCCTAAAAACTGAAAAAGAACTTGTTAAATACATATGAAAATTGTTCACAGTACTTTCAGAAGTTTTTCTTTAGTGGTACAAAAATCAACTGTTCTACTTCACTTTAAAAAAATTCTCCCTGTGAGCTCTTAGCTAGGATTGCCCCAGGCACCTGGAGACTCACCAGCACAGTGCCATTAACACCCAGGACCTTTGGCTGCCCTCAAATGCTCACAGCCAGCCTGAGACACTCGTGCTCATCCCTTTTCCTGGGCATTATTAACTTTACCATAACATTTGGCAGCTGTGAGGTGAAACTGAACCTTCTCCCACCTGTACATTTGATATACCAGGAAAGCAGGGATAAACTGGGAGGGTTTCCCACACAGGACTGGGTAAATGTGAGCACAGTGAATGCACAATGTAATGTTCCACCTTCCTGCCTCACTGACTGACACTGCCTGACAATGAAACCATGGCTGATGTAAAACATAATCATGATGATTGCTTTTAAACAGACAGAAACAACAGATTTCCACAACTTTCACTTATCAAAATCCATTATTTTCTTGGAATTTTAACCCATTTGAAATGATATTATTCTTTGCTAGGCTCCTGAAGGGTAATCTGCCTCCATTGAGCTGCTGCTGAACACCTTATGTCAGGTTATGAAGCTATGGAAACTCAACACCATTCATAAGAGGAAGGAAAGCTGTGAAACAAATACTCTCACACTGATTTATTAGTTTTATTTCTTTTAATGCTGAAGCTTACAGCTTATTACACTCTCTGGGCTACTCAAGAAAGTAGGGAGGGAATTTATACCGAATCAAATTTTATTTTCATTCAACAAAATTTACCAATCACCCAAGAAAATTTGAATTTTTAAAGATTTACTATCTGGTTGTTGTTGCTTGGAGAAAGCAGTGGCTGCAAAGATGCTGTATGATCTTTCACATTCCCTTTCGTCTCTCTCAAACAAGTTTTTGTCAAAAAATGAAGACATTTACTGACATTCTGAGCAATTCTATTCCATGCTTTGAGAATTTAACCAAACATTGAAAGCAGTAAAACCTAGACAGAGAATGATGCTACAGACATCTCTCTGAATACTAAAAAAAAATTGTCAGTAAAACAACATACAAGTAACTTTCATCCTTAATGATACAAAAAAAAATCTTTGCTCGTAGTTTTCTTCATCAATTGGTGAAATTTGCCTTTCCTCATAGATAAAACCAATACCAACTTGATCCCTGCTGTAAGAAATCTGATCTTAGAGGACAGGTTGCTTTAACAAAAAAAACAAAAACCTCAGTGAATTCTCTTTCCAGAATTATGCTTATTATTGAACTGCACATTTTGGAGATCCCAATGACTGGGAGTTTTCTCTGTACACAGTGCACAGATTACTGACAATTAGACAATTTAAGTCCTACTCTTTAATTATCCTTCTAATCCACCACAAAAAAAAGGTTCATTTTTAAAAAGTGTTCTCACAAAAGAAATAACAAAATATTTGTGCAATGTCTATTACTGACATCACAAAAGCCTTTGTAGCAAACCTAAATATGTTGGCGAGTTGAAAACCATTTCAGCTATTAGAGACAGGGTATCCAAGGAGATGTAGTTATCTCACACAGCCTATAATAACCAAATTGTCCAGCCAGCCTAAGGATACAAGAGATAGATCCATCAGGTAGTCCTCTGAATGTCTTATTTGATCACTCAACCTCAAATTTTCATTACTCCTTATTTCAAATTCAATGGTAGCACTATATTAAAAACAGCCTGACTCCCAGACTAAGGAATATAATTATCTCTGATATATGGAGGTAAAACCCTAAGTAACTTCCTTGGTTGACATCTTATAAGGATGTTTGATGCATTTGCTACTGAAATTTATGCAATTTTTAGCAGGATCCTCCCAAAATATAACTTCCTTTTTGCAGACTCACATAACCACTTATTAATGAATGTTCAGCATAATCAAGAATGACTTCAACATAATCAAGAATTATCTTTACTTGCAGGTTTGGTAAGCTACAGCCATGGTATGCAAGCATCCCTGGCTCAAGTTTAATGGACTGAATTCATCCAATGACAAACTGTGCATGAAGGAGACAAACTGTGGGGAGACTGCATGCACTCTGCCATCCCTGGGTTTCCAGCCTAGCAGGGCTTCTTTGAGCAAGTCTAGGATGGTCTGACAAGCTTTTAATTTAGGATCCCCTGTGGAAGAGTGCAAGAAATAATATGCTTTCCTCCTTATATCCTGCTGGCATAAGGATTCAGTCTCAGAAGGCTCTTTATGGGCAAGTTCAGAGCAAAAGCAGAGATTTGGTGCCTCAGAATCAAGCAGGAGTAAAGCACAATTCATTCACACGCAGCACCACAGTGAACAAACACAGCTTTCCAGGAAGATGGGCTCCATCTCCCCAGAGGACCTCTGCTGCCCAAACTGGCACGGATTTTATGTAGCCTTACTGATGTGAAAGTCAGCAATACAACATTTCATTTTACATTCTCATGGGGTGTGGGGTGCACAACTCACATGCCCTGTGTACATATAGCAGCAACTCCATGTTAGCCTCTGGTTACAGAGGCTGTAAGACTCTCTTAAGCCTCATTAAGTTTTGAGTTTGTGCCAACAAATATGCCAGCCCATGCCAAATGTGAGACTGCAAAGTAAAATCTCAACTTCCAGGAACTAGAAAGAAAGAAATTTTCTTTTTCTTTTGTTTTTTTTCCCCTAGAAATAAATACTTAAGCAGAACAATATTTTTTATTATAACATCAAATGGAAATAGTCCCCTTTTGCCAACAGGTCGTGTTTAGACAGGTGAAAAAGTAATTTGGACATCAAGACACTATGCAAAATGTTGTTAGTATTGAATGGAATGGTTATGTATTTTAAGAACGTGAGTGAAATCTGAGGTATTTGTAAAGTTACCAAAAATAATTTAAAAAATCCCAAAACCAAAAAAGTTCAGCCAGAAGAAAAGTTCTGTTTTATTTTAGCTTCAATATTTTCTCTTCTACTTTGTATTTACAAATCTCTCTATTTTGTAACTTTTCAGCAGAAATGATTGGAAAATATTTAGCTAAATAGTATCAGATTTCATAAGAACCTAAAATTTTTATTTATTTTTTTGCTTTATTTTTAATTTTTTAAAGACATAGAAGAAATAAATGCACCACTTTTATAGTTTTCACAGTGCATGTGGAAATAGTCTGCTATAATATTGCAAGTCTGAGAACACCAGTGACTACTTTTTCAATTTTATGTATGGAAAGAGAACAATGCCAGAATATTTCTCTTCAGAACTTCAGAATGAGTCACCTTTGC